GTTTAAAGATATAGAGCTTTGAAGCTAACGATTTCATAGCACGGTGCTGAATATAAGTGCAGGATAGGTGTATGTATATCTCCCTTTCTATACATGGTGAGTCAGTTTTTTGTAGACAAACTTTAACAGGAGATAGAACACATGTTTTTAAAAAGAAAAGTTCCTATAAACATATGTCGTAGAAGCCTTCGTTTCCGAGATACATGCTGTTGAATATAATTATTTTTTTCTCGAATTTTCATTATAACAAACGAATGCTTAGATTTTTTTCATGTTTGGGGGATAATGCCTATTAATTAAGGGGCATAATACAAGCGATAAGAATGTTCAAAAACTTGCACAGTGGCAGAGTGGAGGGGGTGCCAAACCCCTTTCTTAAACAGAACTTCTACGCCAATGACTATTTTTAAAAAAACTGTTATTTTCATTATCTACATACAGTTTAACAAAAACAATATCCCTTCTTCTGTTTCGAAATTCCTGTGCGTTTCCGAGTTATTTTGATTTTTAGTGTTTGATGTGGTATTAAATTAATTTATTGCTTATCAATTATCGGTTAAATACTTAATTCTTTCAACAAAACCTACCGAAATATGGTTTGTTAAGGATTCTGAAAGGCCGAAATCTCTTATTCTTTATATCTTTCCAATATAGTCAAAATAAATGTTTGTTATATCAAGCCATATTCAAATACAAGACTTTTATAAGTCAAAATCTGTTTAATACACTAATTTTAACAATCCTTATTTATTATGTGCTGCGTAAATACTAATGTACTGCAACTAAATTACAAAAAAAACATTGGATGAACATTGATGTTAATGTTTATGGAGAAATCTTTAGAATTTATAACAATATTTAATTAACAACTTCTTAAAACTTTTTGGCAACTGCACAATAATGTATTGTATGTATGTAATGTAACAGATTTCAACTTATAAAAGTCTTGTATTTGAGTATAGCTTGATATAACAAATATTTATTTTGACTACATTGGAAAGAGATAAAGAATAAGAGATTTCGGCTTTTTAAAATCCTTAACAAACCATATTTAGGTAGGTTTCGTTAAAAGAATTAAATATTTAGCCGATAATTGATAATAAATAAATTA